CACTGGACAACCCGTCCTCTTACAAGTAACGTCGCTTTCCCCTCGTATTATTAAGACTAAAAACAGTCGTACTAGAAAATGGAAGCGGCTCGCGAAAGTGACGTACTGTCCCGTTTTCTGTTTTGGGTCCTCTGGCAGGTTAGGAGAGGACACTTTAACGGTTTTCATGACGTTTTGAAAACTTAGGAGAACTTCCTGTCATCCTAACCTAATCAGAGGTTATCAGGAGACCCAAAACTTACTGCTTTGGGTCCATTTCATTTGGAAAATGAATTTCCAATGTTCTAGTACGGCAATTTTTGGCCGTAGCGCATACGAACAAAAAGCGACGTTCTTCGTAAGTGGACGGGTTATTTGCGTATGTGGCTGCACTTGTTTGTTATACATATCAAATTAAACTTAAAAATTGAAAGTTGTATTTTAAAAAAGTCGGAGTGTAATATGTGAGCCAAATAGGCCAACCCGAGCCCCAGTTCCCGAGTGCTGTATCAACATCGACAGTTTTAACAGGTCAACCCTCTCAGTCATCAACACTTACGGCACCCAAGGTATCTCACCGATGAGTACAGTCTTGCTGAGAGTGGAAAATATAGGTAAAGGTTGACCTCAGTGCACATTTCTCCCTCTATATTAATACATGCAGTACCTTCACTTTCATTAGTTCATAGAAGCTAATGAGAGAAAATATCAAATCACTTTCGTTTCACTGGAAAATGCTTCACTCAGAAAACGCAAATGCTTCTCTCAGAGTGCACTAAGCCGAGTGAGTACGGTAGATGGTTAGGACCTGGGGCCAGATTCACGAAAGTACTTACGCAAGCACTTACGAACCTATACATCTTTTCTCAATCTTTGGCGGCTTTGTTTACAATTATTAAACAAGTAATGAGCTCGGAAGCACCAGGAGCCTGTTTATAACAATAACAACAGTTGATTGGCAAGTTTTCATGCTTGTAAACTGTTTAATAAATGTAACCAAAGCCGTCAAAGATTGAGGAAAGATGTACAAGTTCATAAGTATTTGCGTAAGTGCTTTCGTGAATCTGGCCCCTGGTTAGATCAAGTATTCACGTGCCGAATTACGAAACCTGTGCATCTTTCCTCAACCACAGCCCGTTTGTTTGCAATTATTAAGCAGTTTATGAGCTCTGAAGCACCACGATATTATTTATAACAATAATAACTCCTCGAATGTGATGTTTCGACGCTGGTAAAGAAAGCCGCCGTGATTAACAAGTACAAGTTGCGTAAATGCATGCCGAATCCTATCTATGTCGAAACGTATATAAGGACGAATTTACAATCGAGACCCTAATACAATCAGCAGAAGCCTATTCAATTCACGAATCTTTAAAACGGAAAAAATCCTCACCTCATGTTCACAAACTACTAGGCCTTATATATATATATATAAATTATAGATCGTCCAAGTAATGAGACATTTCGGCACAAACATTAATTAAGGGCCCAACATGGTCAAGGGACCCGTGAAGCAGCCTGAATGACCGACTGAAGCAGCTATACGATACGATATTCAACAAGTGCATGTGTGGGGGGGGGGGGGGGGAGGGGGAAGAGTTACCACTTCGGATATTTTCAGGCCGAGAGTGAGTGCGGGCGACCCTCGTGGTGGCTGGCCTCCCACCTGCACTTGTTAGTTGTCCTCTCCCACTCACAACACACGAGGACAAGACAGACAGATAGACAGACCTAGAGTGGAAAATATAGGCCACAGGATACAAAAAGACGGACAGGGAGAGAGACGGACAGGGAGAGAGACGGACAGGGAGAGAGACGGACAGGGAGAGAGACGGACAGGGAGAGAGACGGACAGGGAGAGAGACGGACAGGGAGAGAGACGGAGTGTCAGCCAGCGCTAGCAGTGCCCCCACACCACAATAGAGGACTGGCACCAAATCAGAAGCCACGCATAAGACCCAGAGTGCTAAACACTAGTCGACACTCGTCTAACACTGGCAGTTCCACTCATCCAATTCGTAGCCTAGCACACCAACATCGAAAAATTACCAGTTGGCACATTCGGACACTTCTTCACAAGTTCTGCTCTTGATAAACCAGCCTCATTTTGTAAAATAGCAGCAAGCTCTCTGCATTGCCTTTGTGTCGATACAAGTATCCATGGAGATTCTGACTGGAAACGTTTTCTTGAATAGTTTTAAAGAATCTGTGACGCGGGAAATAAAAACCATCTTTACTACTACTCGAGAGACTGCCCTCTTTAAGAGGCATTAGAAATGTGTGTAGTACATTAATTCCCACCTTGAATAGGGAAAACTACTAAATATAGATACTGTCCTTATTAAACGATGCCCCGCAGGATAACTTGCGTGCTAGTGACCTGAACAACTTAGCTAATTGTTTTATTATTTCGAGGTGTTGTACATAATTATCTTCTTGAGAGGTTGAGATGATTTCGGGGCTTTAGTGTCCCCGCGGTCCGGTCCTCGACCAGGCCTCCACCCCCAGGAAGCAACCCGTGACAGCTGACTAACACCCAGGTACCTATTTTACTGCTAGGTAACAGGGGCATAGGGTGAAAGAAACTCTGCCCATTGTTTCTCGCCGGCGCCCGGGATCGAACCCGGGACAACAGGATTACAAGTCCAGCGCGCTGTCCGCTCGGCCGACCGGCTCCCTCCCTGTAATTCAGCACATGTTACGCTTATATCAAGCCCCCCCCCCCCCCACGGTAGAATTACTGACCCTCCCCAGGAAGCAACCCCCCCCCCCCCCCCACGGTAGAATTACTGACCCTCCCCAGGAAGCAACCCCCCCCCCCCACAACAAGTTTACTAACTCCTGGGTCCCTACTTACTGCTAGGTGGATAGGTGCATTAGATGATAGGAAACTAGCACAACCATTTCTGTTCCGCCCGGGTTTCGATCCGGGAATTCTCGATTGCGAGTCGAGAACAAACCCGATTGTAACAACCAGGACAGCATGTTCACTCACTGGAGTAAGGCTGCCCAATAAATTTGCAATTCGGTGCAAAATTTAACCTACACTATCCAACATACGGCCTTAACAACGATGAAATGAAACTAAGACAACTGCCTTCAATAAAATGTTGGTAAACAATCATTTTTCCAACCCGTCCTCCTGAGAGCACATCACATTTTGACAATTTGTTTAGCCTTGGGTAAAGTATTTTGGTCAAATAATGGAAGCGGCTCCCGAAGTTGACTATGTCCCGTTTTCTGTTTGTGGGTCCTCGGGTTAGGTTGGATCAGGCACTTTAGTGTAACATTGTCGAGTTGGGAACGCTCTGGAGAACGGGCTGCGTTTTCCTGCGTTGTAAGTCTACATAACTTTTTATTACCCGGTGGTGTTTTTGGCGTAAATTATCATTATTCGGCATGAACTGTATCTGTGTCAGTTAAACATTATTGTCCTATAATTTATTTCCAGTGAAAAATAACTGCTCTTAAGCTTAAGGAATTGGTACAGTCTTAGCACGTATCTCTCAAACTATCACAATTTAGTAAGATATTCAGTTCCCTCAGTTTACAACAGTTTACCCCGACTGTCAGGGTTTCCTTGGGATCCCTGGTCTTATTTAGGTAAACGGTAAGTTTAGTTAAAAACACAGCAAAATACCAATCTTAGCAAACGGCCAAAATAAAAGGTATTATTTCATCATAAACTTCAACAATCTCATCCTTCCAATTGACGCAATCCACCTCACTTAAGTTTCGTGAGTTGCGTTACGAAGATCTCAGAAACCCTAAAAGGCAGACCAAGCAGGCCGCGGAGCAGGCCAGGGACGCCATGCAGGGAAGCAAACCGAGCAGGCCTGACCTAACAGACCAGAGCCAGGCAGGAACAACTGGGAAAAACCTACAAGAGTTGGCTTCAATACATATATTGAAACAAGCGGCGGCATTGTTCAGCTCTGCGGCAATGTTGGCCACCACCCCATGCTGCCCGCTGCCCCCCCCCCCCTCCCTCCCGTGCTTGTAATTACCCCTCGCGGCTGTATTCCTGTTTGCTTTTGGGTTCTTTCCCGTTGCAGTGTGTGTATGTTTCGAGGTGCTGTTTTATGTGATACTGTGTCATGTTATGGCCAGTTGTTTACTGTGGCGTCTTGTTTATACTTTAGTGTTTGGATTCGCCACGGTGTTTCGTGCATTGTTTACAGTGTACCGTTTTACACAGCGTTTGAGAAGTACATTAATTACCTGCTTCCATGCAGTACACTGTAGCCTATGACTTGTAGGAGAAATTTTCTTTGCAGTACTACTTTAAATGTTAATGTTTGTTTATTATTCACCCAACAACATTAACGTCCACATTTGGGATGGTATTTGCGCCTGCTAGTAACATGTTCCTATATATAATTTATCAAAATAAATCCCCCCCCACTTATGTGGTGTAATAAGCAGCCAATTACGAAAAGCACTGATAATACATCCAATACCACGTATCCTAAAATACATCTAACGTAGCCTAGGCCTAAATCCACATAAATCAAGCCTATCGCTAAACGCATGTCACATCACAATTTATTACCTACAAAACCAAACGCTCTTAAAAGAAATTGCGATGTTTGTTTTATATTGTGTGGTATTTGTATAGCTAGACAGGCAGACAATTCACCACGGCTGCTCAGAGGTAAATCAGGGCACAATTACTCTCAAAGCACGCACGAACATTGCTATGCAATTTAAGGTTAATGTTATAATTTCCCTAAAATCTACGTTGTTTGAGAAACAGTAGTTCGGCGAGAGACAGCAGCAGCAGACACTCGACAGGCGTCGTGAGATACCTCTCCGCGATGCTTAACTCACTCACTCACTCACTCTCTCCAGCATTGCGAAGAGAAAAAAAGAACGACGGATTTTGTACATTAAATTTTTCACATTTGGCAGTGTGAAATGGAGCATATTGCGCCATGTATCCCCCTGGAAGCATCAAACGAGGCAAGATACAGACCACTCATGAGTGTGTGAACACGATGAGATAAAACACAACTACTCACCGCATAGTAGTCAGAGTCCCACAGTTCCTTCAGATCATTCTCGGCAAAGTCCGCCAGCGTACTATCTATTATATCCATAGTGTTTTCATGCACAAAAAGGGTCGTTCTCACAGAAAATATATGTTCTGACGATTCAGTCTCTCACACTTGTCTCAGTGGCGTAGGTAAAGTAATTTAGAACTCCATAGGGGGAGGTATGGATGGGAGGCGTGAGCGAGAGGGTAGAGCAGGTGGGTCAGGTGGCGGAGCGAGCAGTGGCAGTACCTCCCCGCACGATGAGTTGTGAGTGACTGGTGGTGGCCTCTTCTCACACCCGCTGCTCGAACGCACTTCCCTCTGGTGAGCAACGCTGCAACTCCTCCTCCTACTACTCCATACACACACACACACACAAGGATATACAAGTATACGCCATACTAAGTATACAAGTATATATCGAACTCCTCGGTGCATATACAGTATATATATACATATATTTTAAGAGTTCTGGACTAAAATTGGTTGGCTGGTTAATAGTACTGTATTATGTTGTTGTTTAAGATTCGCTACTTGGAACAAAAAGTTCCAAGTAGCACGGGCTATGGTGAGCCCGTAAAAGTAGTAGTAATGTAAGCAATTGTAGTGCGGTTGACAGGACTATGATGGACGCCTCACGTGTGCTCTTGAACTACTCTTGACAACGGGCAGCCGTCAACACACGTGGCTCCGCTGCCATACTCTCCAACTAAATTCTGAAGCAGCTCAGCGCTAAATATTTACCTGAGGCCCACCTTCCCTATAGGGGTCTTGATGGGGGACAGAAAGCCGGCGACTTGTCAAATCAAATATCTGTAGATATTCGAGTAATAGTTTATCTTTAACTACTACTTCTTAGACACATTGGCAATTATTCACTGTTCTGGACAGTTGAACAATTATAAATTTAGTTCACATAAAGTTGCCATTTATGATTGTTTGCTGGACACACAGTTGTCAAGGTGAAGTGAAATGACAGGCATCCAGTGACAACTGCAGCCAGGGTGACGCTGGTACCGTCAGCCGGCAACTGCAGCCAGGGTGACTAATCCCTAATCAACAAAAAGAATACTATTTCAGCAAAAAATGGGGCCAACAAAACTACTTGGCAGAATTGCATCAGCTGTTGTCTAGACACTTTTGGTCCAACGGTTCATTTTAGCATACCGAGATATATATTCCTATACATAAATTACTCTTCCTAAGATATGTTAAATGGACGAACTGGTGGCAAAATACTCTTATATTCAGGGGGCCGGTTTTAAGCCAATTAGACTAATTGCTCCCAATTGGGCTCAAGGAGTCTCCGCGCCAGGTAATCTGCTCAAATAAATAACAAAGCCTAACCTATAAAGACTTGTCATAACCAACACTAACTTGTAAGCTAGTGCTTAAGTCTGCTGCATTCTTTACGACAGAATACAGCACGAATACAGAAGACAATAAGTCCAGTATATGTTTTGTTTTTATCACTTCACTGATGAATGCCACTATTTATGTTTTGTTTATTTTTCGGTATCACCAGGATAAAGGTAAAAGTCTCAATGGACATTGGCACAAAATATTTGTGGCAAATCAGTTTAAACTTAGAGAAAATCCTAAGTTACTTTAAAGAGGCAAGAAAGGTTACTTTTTATAAACCAACTTTTAGATATCAAAAAAGCATAATTTGTTTCCAACAATGCTAGGATATATATATATATATATATATATATATATATATATATATATATATATATATATATATATATATATATATATAATAATAATATAATAATAATAATTTGTTTCCAACACTTACATTTTGTAATGTTTTTCCAAACTAAAAAATAAAACTAATATTTGTAATAAATCGTTTTACAAGAACTTTTTAATATTATTAATAACAATAATAAGACATTACTTTATATGCTTAGGTGAGAGGGAAGGGAAGGGTCCAACAGCCTGGTTGACCAGTCCAGCAACCAGGAAGCCTGGTCGATGACCGGGCCGCGGGGACGTTGAGCCCCGAAATCATGGCAAGGTATCCACAAAGTAGGTATACACAGCAATGTACTGCTACCCTATTCTACATGAAAGATTACACAGTGTAGATGAAAAACTGACTATAAGTTCATCTAATATCTCCATCTCACAGGATGGTTAGTCATACATGGAATCAGGAGAGAACATTAAATGCGAGGCTGATCTAATAGCCTCCACTAGCAAACTCTGGGTACAGCACAAGAATATCTTCCAATATTCCTGAGTGTATGAGGTAGCTAGAGCTCAAAATACCTCATACATTGATGGTGTGACATCATTGATAATAGCTGCTATAATAGCCCGGTGTATGGCGGATAACTAAATTATATTCTTGTAAGAAATTGAGCCAAATATTATGAGTTCTTACCTTGTTCACAAGGACTAGAGGATCATAGTCTGTGAACACTTCCACCATGTTTCCACTTAACTACGCTCCAAACTTGTACGCGCTAAGTATGTTTATATATACAGGAGAAATTACCATAGTTTCAGTCACATATTAACATAAAGCTCATTATTCACTGCCAGTAATTTATTGTACATACCGCTATTCATTATGCGAAATACTATTTTTTACGGTACCACTATTGACTATGATTTACTGTTTAAAAAAGGCATTTCTTTGAGAGGTGCAGCGGGCGAACTATCATAGTTAAATACTCCTAGTAACCAGGTGAGGGAGGGAAGTGAAGGGATGGTGGGTGAGGGAGGGGAAGGTGAAGGGTGAGGTGGGAGAGACAGGTGTTGTATATTATACGTTTGCAGGTGTGAGCGTTACAGGTGTCTGTATGTAAGTGTATTCACTCAGATCACCAAGTTGTATTCAGCTGTTTTTCAGGGTGGAGCAACAGCTCCCTAGCCCCGCCTTTCCATCACCTGGTCAGTAAATGTGAAGACTCATTCCTTTTGTTTATCGTCGTTCTTCCTACTGAAGCTGTTGATTGAAGTTGCCTCCACGATGCCTACCGGCAGTATGTTCCATAGATTGTGACTTATGCTGAAGAAGTTTTGCCAGACGTGTCTCGGACTCATCTGTGTCCCCTGGTCCTATTGCTTCTTGTTTTTAACACTGGCTCTTTATCCACATTGTCAATTTACTAAAATATCTTGTATGTTGTTATCTCCCCTTTGATACACCTTTCCTCCAACGTGGTGAGCTTGAGCTGGCTCAGCCTTTCACTGTAGGGAGAACTCTCAGCTTTGGGTCAAATCTAGTTATGAAAACTCATTCACATTCAGTATTTATGTTTAACCGAAGCTTAAAACCCTTCAGCGATCCCACGTCTGCAGCCCGTCCTCCAAACAGACCCAAAAGTGATTCCATCCACCCGCTAAACCCCCTGTTTATGAATGAAAAACGGTTTACACACGACACAACTGATTTCGTTTGAACACTTCCGGAACAAGTGCTTCACTGACGAATTTTGTTCGAACCACAACGCTGTAAATGCTTTACCCACGTACTACAAATACAAATAGTCGCCAACAGAACCTAAACACCTAATCTAACCTAACCTATGCCTATATATGTACAATATGCTAATATATTAATTTATATTTGAGAAAATTCCCGGTTTGAATGAACAGCATGTAAAAATTTATAAATGCGTCTGTGGGTCGACCGCTGGATGTAGTAAACTTCATAGTGTCTACTACAGACCTCTAGACTGTAGTAGAGTCGAGGACGGGTTGCACATTTTTTTTTGGGGGGGAGGGGGGTATATATACAAGAGTTGTTACATTCTTGTACAGCCACTAGTACGCGTAGCGTTTCGGGCAGGTCCCTGGAATACGATCCCCGCCGCGAAGAATCGTTGTTACAACCAAGTACTCATTTTACTGTTGCGTTAAACAGAGGCTACAGTTTTAGATTTGCGCCCAGTAAATCCTCCCCGGCCAGGATACGAACCCATGACAAAGCGCTCGTGGAACGCCAAGCGAGTGTCTTGCCACTACACCACGGAGACTGGTAAACATCTGACTCCTGACATGTTACTCGGTAATTCGTTCCATAAATCAACAGCCCCAGTTGTGAAACCGGTACTACTTTGGAAACGGGGGTCGTTGATTTATGGAACGAATTACAGTTACAAATCTTTCCTATATCTAAACTTATCCAATTTATATCCATTGCTTTAATTTGTTATTTTTTTAACCTTATTTTTATCACCTGTGTTGTACCCTTTGTATACTTCAGTCGTCACTCTTACTCTTCATATTTCTAGATAATGAAAATGAAGCGCCTTATAATCTCTCTTCAGTTGGAAGATTTATAATTTCTGGGATTAACTTTGTCGTCGTCGTTCTCTATGCGCTCATTTCTACAGTACGGAGACCAAACCTGAACTGCACTGACTTTCCCTTGAAACAATCCAACGATCTCATAGCTATTAGTTTAGATACTACTTGAAAATATTTATAATAAACCATAGTAGAAGTTTGTAGCTCATGTTAGCCCCCCTCACATATTTTTATATTGTCAAATGATTTCTTTTAGAAATGACAATTGACCATAGCCTGATTTACTAGACCCGTCGAAATTGTGTGACAAGTGGTTGTAATGTACATGCACGTTTGTTCAGAAAACCTAAAACAACAACAATATGCATGTTTGTACAACCCGTCCTCCTAATAGAGCGTCGCATTTTGACATACTTTACTAAAGTCCAAAAATTGTCGTACTAGTAAATGGAAGCGGCTTGGGAAATTGACATACTGTCCCGTTTTCTGTTTTGGTTCCTCTGGTAGATTAGGATAGGGGGCACTTTAGTACGACAGTTTCTTCGGAGGACGGGCTGGGCATCCACCATTCTACACTCCGTCACTGCAACTCCTCTCATCAATGATGATAAAGATTAAGTCACCCAAGAGGGATTATTCCTATTACCTAATGCCTCTGTTCACCCAGCAGTATATAGGTATCCGTGAGTGAATCAACGGTCATGGGGTTGCATCCTGGGGAGGGTCGCCAATTCAACCTTGGGCGAGGGGGGGGGGTTTCGATATAAGCCTAAAGTATATACTCAGGCTGCCTGTCACCAATAAAATTAATAAATTGCATTTTAAAATGCAAGAATGTACAAAAGTACATTCTTACAATAAGTAAGAATGTATAATAAGTACAAAAAAATCGGTACTGTAATTATTTTTGGACAATATATCATACAAGTACAGTATTTTAAATTTAAAAGTTATTAGAAAGAAAAAGGATCCTGCACTGGAGGCACAAGTTTGACTTGGGAAACTTTAGGTTTTGAATAATTTTGGGACTTGATAAGAGC